TTATGTACTATTTTCTGTTTATTTGTGATAAGATAAAAGTAAAAAAAATAATCAATATCAATACTTACTTGTTAATTATAATATGTTATTGGTATTTAATACGCTTGAAGACGATTTTTTTATATAAAAATATTTTTCTCCAAACTTTTTAAATAGTACCTAGGATAACAAGACAATTCGCGAATATATTCATACTCGTAGAGTAGTACTACTAGTACCAACGCAACACGGGTCGACACTGAAGCTGAATTTATTTTTCCGCATGTTTAATTATTTTTAGTCGATTCAGATGTTTCAACGTCGCAAATAACTATTTTTTTTTAAATTTAGCTGACATCGCGTCGTTATACAAGGTTAATGATAATTGAAATGATGATTCTCGCGCTGTCATATATCTTGGATCCATTTATTTGATTAAAATGAGTGAAACTAATTGATTTAGTAGCATATATTTTGATTTGGGTGTAAATTAAAAAAGTTTTTGGTTTTTATTTTTTTCTCAAACTATATGAAAAGATATGACAACTCACATTTCACATTTCCATTACAGTTTTTCCTGCTCTACAAGATGGTGCCATTAGATTTTCAAACTGACGTTTCGTTTAAAAAAAATTATTACCTGCATTTTATATTTCTTTTTTTAAAGCAGTACTATACCTGACCAAAAATGCTTAATAATAATCCTATGTATCCTATGTTATAGGGCTTGTTTCTCTCTACAATTTCCTGTTTCACAACGTACCGTTTGTGTCCGGGAAGGGTTCATAGTTTTATAGTTGTCGATTTTCGAAAGAAATCAGTACATTTATATTATTTCGTATATTTTTCATTTTATTGATTTTATAGAAAGCACTGTTCATTAAAATGTTGTATCCTATGTTATAAAGCTTGTTTCTCTCTACAATTTTCTGTTTCACAATGTACCGTTTGTGTCCGGGAAGAGTTCATAGATTCATAGTTGTCGATTTTCGAAAGAAATCAGTACATTTATATTATTTCGTATATTTTTAATTTTATTGATTTTAAGGAAAGCACTGTTCATTAAAATGTCGTATCCTATGTTATAGGGCTTGTTTCTCTCTACAAGTTCCTATTTCACAATGTACCGTTTGTGTCCGGGAAGAGTTCATAGTTTCATAGTTGTCGATTTTCGAAAGAAATCCGTATATTTAAAAAAAAACGATGTCAAAGATGGCTGGGAATGGCAATCGATGATAATTTTGGCCAGGTCATTCTCTAGACGTCAGAATGGCCAATCGCAGCCATTGATGACGCTGTTTTTTTCGATCGTTGTAAAAACGTTATATAAATTGTAATATTAGACTAAATACATTAATTTTCAATGTTTTTTTTTATTTATTTAAAGGCTCACCTCATTTTTTTCACAATTTTTCATTACGTATCACACTTTCACGTCAATTTTACTACATTTTTCACTGCATTCTGGATGCAAAGAATGCAAGTTCTGGCACAGGGGTGTTGTGGACGAGCGTATCCGTGGAAACCAGAGTCTCTTCAAGGCTCAAGGCAAACACTTTTATGGAGCTTTGTTTTAATTTTACTTATTTCCAGACATTTTTAATTCATTTTTCCTATCAAGATCAAGCTTGTGCTTTTCTTATAAGGCTAGAGCTGTTACCAGTTTTTTTTCTGTTTGTCGAAATATACCACGTCTAAAAATATTTAAACTTATTTAATACTCACCCTGTATAAGTTTTTTTACTACTGGGGGAAGTGAAGAAGATTTGAATAAAAAAATCTAGTGTTTCTGTTTAGATTTATGTATTTTTTTCTTATATTTGGTATAAAAAATGATACAAATATTCTAGCGGAAGTACACGATATTAATAAAATACAAAATATACAAGTTAATAATAATATATCATAGACAAAGTAAGTTTTTTAAAATTCTTTTACACTTATATACGTTTCTGTACATTATCACAGTAAGGCAAGTTTAATATATGTGTCTTGCATGTTTTTTTTAGTTTTCAAAAATATCAAAATGGATATATATATTTTTATTTCTTTTTATTTTTACTAATAATTATTTCATGAAAAAAAAATATTTTTCTCAAATTTTTAAAGTAATATGGTAAATTTAAAACAAAAATGGTTTTCGCTATATTATCGAAATATAACATCTTAAAATTAACTATTTACAATAAGTCATTTGAGTCTATTAATAACAAAGTATGTATTAATATTTTTATTATAGTAAAGACTTGTTTATAACAATAATTTTAAAATAGATTATTGTATTATTGATTTCGGAAAAAAATATTAGTAGTTTTGCATATCTGGTTTGTCCTGGTCTTGAAAATTTAAATGAATGTGTACATTGTAATAATTTTTAATTTTTATACAGGTAGTTCAATAATTTCAGTAGCTACAGTACCAAAAAACTGTAAATTATTATAATTTTACATAATATGCAGATTTATTATCATCTTTTTTTATACTTATTTAATTATAGGTTTCGGTCTTTCTTGTCTATTTTTATTGCTTGTTGTCAAATACTTAATAAAATAATATAATCATATTTTTCCTTTTTTGGGCTTGATATGGTATATTTTTTAAGCTTTTTTATCAATATCAATAAAAAATACAAAAATAGTAAAGAATTTTCTAATAGGTACTCATTCATATTAAATTAAAAACCATCATTAGTACATTTTTAATTATATTCATTAGTACCTCTTTAATTGAAAATGTTTTGCAATTTTTTATACAGGGTGACGCACCTCATTCGCCTCGGTTGATTATACGAAAACGTGTTGCAGAGCTCCATACCAAAGTTATATTTTTTCTTATGGAACACCCGGTATATTATATCATTTCTGGATTCTTGGGTCCAAAAAAAGGTATTTATTATAAGGGCTAAATATGTTTAAAATCCTTTGCTTTGATTTATTTAAAAAAATACAGGGTGCTGTATTTGAAATAACGAAGTTTTTATGTAAAATAAATATTTAAAATAGACCAGCAATTTTTGATACCCCTGTATACATTAAACGAAGCAATCAAATTTTTCAGTAAAGTTTATTTCTCTGGCTTAAAAGCCAGCACAAGAATTAATTCTGAAAAGCAATGTACCGGGTGGCCAACTAAGAATGGACGCCGGCTGTATCTCCAGAAACTACTTGTCATATAACTTTGGGAAAAAAATTCTAATAGGTAAATCGACCAAGAGAAATCGCTGGAAATTATCTTCAAGTTCGAAAAACGCCCCCTAGCGGGCATTTTTCGAACTTGAAAATAATTTCCAGCGATTTCTCTTGGTCGATTTACTTATTAGATTTTTTTTCTCAAAGTTATACAATAAGTAGTTTCTGAGATACAGCCGGCGTCCATTCTTAGTTGGCCACCCGGTACATGGTGTTAATAATATATTCTATTGTAGCATACATTTTTAAATAACTTTAAATATCTCAAAAACCAAAGATTTTAAATACATTTAACTTTTATAATAAATGCCGTTTTTTGGGCCCAATAATCCAAAAATGAAATAAAATACCGGGCGTTCCATAAGAAAAAATATAACTTTGGTATGGATCTTAGTTCTGAAACACCCTGTACATTTCAAAATAATTTTAAGTTGTGCACATTACCTACCCACATATACCTATAAAATATTTTGTTTCTACATCTTTCCGTTTTCGTATAATCAACCCAGCCTGTATATAAAAATAATGTAAAAAATATTCTGATTTTTTTAAAGTTCTGTAGGAACAATTTTTAAGAAGTGTTAAAATACGAGGCATGTTTTTTAAGTAAGTACTGTTTTGCGATTCCGCCGCCGCAGCGCTACGGTCGGCGTTCCGCGCATGCGCGCTGGTTACCTACATCTCTTGTCTATGCACAGACGCCCGTACAGTCTGATTCTTCATTGTATACGTTGTTTATTGAGTGTTTAAGATGCCTCCGACAATCGTGAGCCCCGCCGATTGTGAAGTACGGGCTGTCATACGATTTCTTAGTGCTAAAGGCGTAAAACCGATTGATATTCATCGTGAGATCTGTGAAGTTTACGGACAAAACATTATGAGTGATGGAATGGTAAGGAAATGGGTGAGAGCATTTAAAGATGGCCGCACAAATGTGCATGATGAAGAACGGAGTGGGCGTCCTTCGGTCGTTAATGAAGATTTGGTGCAGAAAGTGGACGAAAAGCTGAAAGAAAACAGACGCTTTACAATTTCATCATTGTGCGACTACTTTCCTCAATGTCTCGTAGTGTTTTGTATCGCATTGTGACCGAGAACTTGAATTACCGGAAATTGTGTTCACGTTGGGTTCCGAAAATGTTGACGGATTTGCACAAAACCCAACGTTTAGGCAGTGCATTGACTTTCCTTGAGCAGTACTACAATGAAGGTGAAGATTTTTTAGGCAAAATTGTTACTGGTGACGAAACATGGGTGGCCTACGTCACACCAGAATCGAAACAACAGTCCATGGAATGGCGACATTCATCATCACCCAAAAGAGTGAAGTTTAAGCAAACAATTTCTGCCCGGAAAATCATGTGCACAGTTTTTTGGGACAGAAAAGGAGTATTGCTAGTGGAGTTTTTGCCTCGCAATGAGACAATCAATGCAGCATCTTATTGTGAGACATTGAACAATCTGCGCCGTGCAATCCAAAACAAAAGATGTGGCAAGTTGAGTAAGGGTATTGTTTTGCTGCATGACAATGCCCGTCCACATGTGGCTAATCGGACCAAAGATCTCATCAAATCTTTTAATTGGGAAACTCTAGATCATCCTCCATACAGCCCTGATCTGGCGCCCAGTGACTACCATTTATTCCTGCACTTGAAATAACACCTTGGCGGTCAGCGTCTTCAAGACGATAACGAAGTCAAAAGAGTTGTGATACAGTGGTTAACCAGTCAGGCGGCAGAATTTTATGAGGAGGGTATTGAAAAACTGGTGCCACGTTATGACAAGTGCCTCAATATTCACGGAAATTATGTAGAAAAGTAGATTAAGGTACAGGCTTTCATGTAAAAATAAAATTATTGCGATATCTTTGCACGTTTTTTTTTAATTCCAAAACGGTACTTAAAAAACATGCCTCGTACAAATAAAATTTAGTTTTGTCATAGATCAGAAGTTTTATAGCAAAGATGTCGGTACGTACTAAAGAACTAACTACCTATTTCTTGAGTTTTATTTAAAAACTTTTCTTTAAAATGTAACTGAAAAATAACTACGATGTTACGAAGTACTGGAAATCAACAAGATATGGTACTCAAATTCAGTACTCTACGATTGGTATACGTTAAAAATACTTAAAAATTACATCGCTTGAAGATCAGTACGAATATCACAATTTGGTAGAAGGACCGGCTTGAAAACTAAACCCCGGCTTGTCTGGCAAAGGTCTCAGCGCCATAGTACCCGATCCGGTACTCTTCACGCTGTCCTGCTTCCCTTCGTCCTTCTGTCTGAGCTCCGAATAAAGATGCACGTCCCTATCGATGGGTTCGCAGTACTCCCCTGTCAAAATCGGTCGAGTGCTACTGCTGGAAACATCCAGAACGGTCCTGGAAGGTTCCGTGTTAGTATTGGTGGTCACGACCTTCTCCTCCATTAGTTTCAGGATCCCTCTGGGACTCGTGGTGGTCTGCGAGGGTGGTACCGTGTGTGTTGGCGATTGGGGTGAGGAGGGTTGTTCCTCGTAGGGAGGTGGAGGGATTTGGAGGTTGAGGTTGCCCAGTTCCTCGTAGAGATGAGCTTCTTCCTCTCTGAAATTATTTCAAAATCAAACAAGGCTTTTTTTATTAATCTATACTAATACAGGGTGTCCCAGAAATAAGTGCATATATTTTAAGGGGTGGGAGATCTTGATAAAAGAAACGTATTTTCTCTTTACCGTTTTTCAAATAAGTCCAAAATAACGGAGTTATTTTACTTTGAAAATTAAAAAAAAATGTTTTTTTTGTTAAAATTTTAAGAACCACTGGATCTTTTCTGGATTTTCTTTCTTGTAAATTTAATCCAATACCTATGTTGCCATATTATCAAGAAATTATGTTTTTTAACTAAAAACTAAAAAAAATTCCAAAAAATTTTTCAAAAAATTTCGAATTTTCAAAATTTTTTTTCGCGAAAAAAACCTCTTAGGCGTGTTTCTGGGGTTGAACTATACTACTAGTTAAAATATTTGCACTTATTTCTGGGACACCCTGTATATAAAATCCTTAAGTGACTCACAGATTAATCACGATCCTACTCAAACCACTCAACGTAAGAAGCTCAATTTTGGCATAAGAAGGGATTTTTCGAAATTCCAGTTCCAAGGGGGTGAAACCACCCCTCAAATATTACAATATTTTTTATATAAAAAATGGTCAAGTTTCCGAAAAAACGCTTAAACACGGATATTTTATTTTGTTTTTTTACATATTTTCAGATTTTTAAAAAATGTATACAGGGTGTTTCGAAAAATCTGGTCATTGATTAATCACGATCCTGCTTAAAGTGCTTGACGTAAAAAGTTGATTTTTGGAAAACGGATTGACTTTAGGGTGAAGAGGTTCGATAAGAAGGGATTTTTCGAAACTCGAATTCTAAGGGGGTGAAACCACCCCTCAAATATTACAATATTTTTTATTTAAAAAACGGTCAAGTTGCCGAAAAAACTCTTAAACACGTATATTTTATTTTGTCGTTTTACATATTTTAAGAGTTTTTATAAATTTATACAGGGTGTTTCATAAGATATGACCATTGAGTAATCACGATTCTGCTTAAACTGCTTGACGTTTAAAGCTGCTTTTTGGCAAACGGATTGGCTGTGGGGTGTAAAGGTTCGATAAGGAGGGGTTTCTCGAATTTCAAATTCCAAGAGGGTGAAAACGCCCCTCAAATATTACAATATTTGTTATTTTAAAACGGTTAGTCTTTCGGGAAAACGCTTGGACATGCACGCATAATTTATTTTGTTTTTGTACATATTTTGAAATTTTTAAAAAAATCATACAGGGAGTTCCAAAAAGTTGGGTAATTGATTAACCACGATTCTGCTTAAATTGCTTGACGTAAAAAGCTTAATTTTGGCAAACGAATTTTTCGAAAGTCAAATTCCAACGAAATAAAACTACCCCTCTAATAGTACCAAGTTATATAATAATATCGCCATATTGTTTTTTCTCATGCTGACATAAATGTGAGAAAATTTTATCCAGTTTGTATGTTAATAGAAATTCTTGCTTTGCTTTATCATCACGTACCATTACAAATGATTAATTCGACGCGAACGAAGTCGCGGGTACACGCTAGTAATATATATTACCTGTTATTATTTTCATAACTCTCATCAATAATAAACATCTCGTACAGCCTCTCAATCAGCTCGCTAGCCTCTTGATGCGTTGCCGGATCATCCAGCCTCTGGGAGAGTTCATGCAAAAACTCAATAGTCAGCTCCTCAGGAATCTCAAGTTTCTCATTGTCAGTCTCCACTGTAACTATCGTGTTCTCCTCTTCATCGTTACTTTCATTATTGTTACCATAATAATCGTTTCTGAAGTAGCCTTGAAGAGAACAAACTTTTGATGAGGATCGCATCATCAGTTTTACCCTAAATCTATCTCCTTACCTCTGCGTTTAAGCCATCTGCTTCCGCGAATCAGAAGAACCACGAATGTACTGACCAGAGCCAGTATGAAGCAAGCTACAAGAACCACAATGAAGATCAGCCAGTTCTGCTTGTCGTTCTGTGCTGAGTCAGTGAAGATTTTTCCTGTGGTGTTGATTGTTCGAGTTTCGCCATTGTAAGAACGACAGTCTGCTGTCTCGTTGACACAGGTGATTTCTGTGAAGTTTTGCATGTTGATAATGCCGATTGATAGTGAGAAACACTCGGAGAGTCTTTGGTCGACTTTGCAGAAGCTTGTGTCCAGGATTTTGTCGGTGTATGATGTTGTGTTGGTGAGGGACTCAATCCAATCTGCCAGATCACAACTAAAAAGAAATAACAAAGTTAATGTATCACAATTTATTCAATTTTTTTATTAGCCCTCTAAGGGCTGGCAAAGGTTAGTCTTGGGTCGAGATTTCCGTATGTAAGAAGAGTACAATGCGTTTATAATGTACTGAACAAAGAGAGGACAGTAAACACGTTGCCAAACGTATGAAATAAACCGAGAAACTGTGCACATCGCTAAGAGACGTGGAAGGGGATATAACAGATTTGTCGCAGTTGACCGGTCGACCCAATCAATACCTCTGTCAGTACTTAAACGTCATGCGTTCAGCTTCACGATTTAATTACATCTCGTGATACTTAATTTATTTAATTATTAACGAGTCGTTGTAATTTTCCCTATAGCTTGAATTTTTTTAAGTGCAAGCTAGAAACACTTGCATTTTTGGTAAAAATAAGTGGAATTGAGTGGGTGTTCGATAGTGGTCGCGCTATTAGAACTCTGAATTCAAAAATCGATATCTCGAAATCTATTAGAAATAATAGATTGTAGATTTTTCAAGAACTTTGTTAATATATCTGCTGTATTTTCTTTGTAGACAGTATGTGAAAATCTTTATCAATAAAAAAATTACACGATTGCTGAAAATTGCTATGCTCTAAAAGTAAATGGATGGATTGTTTACAATTTTTGAATGGAAAAAACAACCTTATCGAATTTTTCTTATGTAAACATATTGTAAAATATCCCATCCTAAAAATAAAAAAAAGTTTCAATATCTAAAGCGGTTCTTGAGTTATGGCCTGTTATGTGTTAAAAAGTTGAGTTCTTAAATTATCGCGATTACTGACGTTTTCTCGTTATAAAAAAATGACACCCTATCGATATCCTTATAATTCCATTTCAGATGCTCACAAACATGTCTAATGATTTTATCTAGTTATCTCTTGGAAAAAAAAGTCTTTTAAAAATAAGCGGTTTGCGATCGTGATTTTACTTTACTTGATAGGGAAAAGCGTATCGGCAACGCCGCAACAGCACACCGTCGCGCGTCTCCTCGGTCGGTCGCATTTCTCTCACTCCGACTTAATAAGATCCCTATGCGATTTACTTCCACACATGTAACAGTTGCCAGCACGGTATAATACGGAGATGGAGAACTAACCTCAGTAAAACCGTCTCAGATACTGGCTTCTGTCAAAGCCCTGAGACTAACTAAGAGAGACTAATGTGTTGTAACTCAAAAAATGGAAGCAAAATAGAGCTTACTACTAAAATAGAGCTTACTCAATAAAGCTTACCTGCAAGATATCGCAAAATAATTATCATCAAATTCCAGCTTATCAGCGTCCTCATCAAGTTTAGACAGGAAATTCAAGCTCCCCTCTAAAGCATGGTATATTTCGTTGCCTTTAAAAGTAATCAGTTGGACGTCTTTGTTCCAAGGAACAGTTATGAAATCTTTGTGCAAGTTAATGATGACATTCTGGTCTATCATTACTTTGTTCCATTTGTTGATTTCTATGGCAGAGGCATGGAAAGTTTGGACTTCGTTACCTACGATTTCTACGTTGGCAGCAGTGCTGACTATAGCTCCAGTCTCAACCTCTGTTATCCTACAAAAATAAAAAGATGTAGAGCAGACGTAAATAGTTCCAGGGTTGTACAAAAATTAAATTTGTTCTTACGTGGAATGATTGACGATCAAGTTGGTCATGCCTGCAGTTACAGCCTCTGTCCTTAGCTTGTTGATTTCGCATTTGGTTATTCTAAAGTTGACCACCAGAGTGCGTTCAGTGAGAGCTTTGGGTTCGATCGTATCAATCGTGGTGTTGATCAATTCGATCTAAAAAATTTTAAACCATTAAATTAAACGAAATCATGAAAAATACTATCTGTTTAAGGGTGGTTGCAACGACGTCTTGTCATCCTGCTGTTAAAACATAACAGCTGGTTTTTATATATAAAAAAATAAAAATAATTACTAGATATTATAGATAAATATATGGAAATAAATGACGATAATTGTCAAATGGATTACTCTCAATCAATCTACATCACTAAGTCAATTAGTTATCCATACTATAAATTTGACAAAAAAACTTTCACTCCACTTCATTTCACTCTAAGGAGGTACAAAGTTTGCTGAGTCAGTTTTCTTCTAATTAATTTAAATAAACTTACTGCTGAAATTTGAGATGACTGGAATGCACCATTGCATATACGTCCAATCTTGCTATTCCGGATGCTCAACCTTGCCAAAGAGGTAAAAAAGACTTTGTTTGAAATTTCTGGAGCTACGATATTGATGAACAATACCTACGAGATAAAATAATGTTTATTGAATGAAAAGAAAGTTATTGAATGAAGGTTTACATCTGTTACTGGTCCATGTCTCCCAATACTGCCCAAATTTTTGATTTCAAACGATCCACTGTCTAGAAGAAGATTTCTGATGTTTTGTAGGGTACATTTGCTCAGATTGCTGAAAGGTGATTTTTCTAATTTTACTGTCCTTGAGTCTGTCACTTCAATGGACAAGGAACCCTGAAATTTCATAAAATAGTTGATATAGAAATACATTTTTGAACCTGTTAATGAAACTTAGACCATAAGCTGATAGACACAGTAGTTCCTTGATGCCATTTTGTAACCAACATAAATATTATTCGTTTTTTAAAGTTAACAAATTGGTAATAATTAAACTAATGTCTAATATATTTAGACTCTCTCTATGTATGATTTTTGAACAAGTTATATCAAGATTCTCACCTGGTTCTCGTCAAACGCCTCACTCTGGAACAGGATATCATCACAGCCGAAAAATTGAACTAGTAGACTCGGCGAGGCGATCTTCACCAAGGCCCTGCTATTGAAGACTACGTTTTGGACTTTTTCGAACCTAATAACAGATAAGGCCCTCAGACTGTCGAAAGTTCGGGGCCTGAAGGTTATCGTTTGACCGTTGTTGATGTAGATTTCGCTGGTTTTGTCAGGTATGTGGTCAGGAAATAAGGTCAGGTCCTGAAAAAAAAACAAATACAGATATCTTGTTTATTAAGTTATATAGAATATATAAACAAGGGTTATATGGAAATTCGTCGAATCCGTCATATAGGTATAGACATTTTTTCACTTAAAGATTGATTCCCTCTATACGTTCCGTATCCGCTACACCTTGCATTTCAACTGACTGACAAAACTGACAGGAAATACGTAACGTGTAGAAGGGGCATTATGTTATACAACACATTATATTATTAAGTTATATGGAATTTTATATTATTCTATTTTTTATATTATTCTAAAATTGTATTTATTTGGAATTTGAAAGTGATATTTGTTCTAGATAAAGTCCATTAAGTCATATTTACATTGGTTTGTGGTTTAGGCCGGTTAAAACGATAATTTCATTCGTACAGTTTTCTACATTTTATCTTTGGCTATTCGTAAACAGTAAAATAATGGATTGCTCGTACATTATACGCACACATACACGTTCACTATATATATTTGCGCTCTTTGGATCGTTACGGATCATTGACTCCTACTGTTTGTAGAGATATGTGGAATTTTAGAAACGTACAATATTATTATGCTGTTTTAACGATATCGAACAGTAATAATTTTTATCATAAGATAATTGTCAAGCCTTTATTCTCAGAGAAATTTTGCTCCAAAAAAAAGTCAAAAAGAAAGGTGGTAATCCTAGTCATAATATTACGAAACTTTCAGAATTTGTAGTAAATTTTATGTAGATTTAGAATATATACACCTTTAAAGGTTTAGGTATCTTGGTTTTGTGCGAAAATTAATTTTTTGGACCCTTGTTTTGAGCTATCTTTGATGATCGTTAAAACTTCTCTCTCCTACATCCATTACTGTTCTCGTAAGACTACAATGGCTTATATTTTATTATTCTACGTCTTTTAATTAAATAACAGTAGTTTTAATAAAATCGGTGAAATGAAGAAAATCGCTAATTTTCAGGACTATTTTGTATAGAAAAAAATTGTCTAATTTTTGGCTATTTTTTATACATTTTCAAAGGCCTTAGAAAAATAGTAATCATAGGCATAAAATTATGAAAATTTCAGTGTTTGTAGGAAATTTTATGTAGATTCAGAATATATACACCTTTATAGGCTTAAATATCTTGGTTTTGTGCGAAAAATATTTTTTTCTACCTTGTTGATCAATGCATAATTATTATTGTTAAAGAACTATGACCATTATAGATTATAGCATCTCTGATCCTTTTTTCTACAAAATATATTAAAAATGTATCGTTTTTTTAGTTATTCTGGCTTTCAAATGATCTGATATAATGCGATTCCGATCAAAGACACCGTACTGAATACAAAAGAGGTTTTTGTATAATATATAGGTCGGTAAATACCTGTTTCAATGCATACATACATACGATTACATACAATGGAGAGTGTATAAATCCCTCTCAGACACCCACAGATTTAAACAGCTTATTCATCTGACGCCGGTGTCGACCTTTACCAACTTTTTAAACATTTGTAGTCGTCGCCCACTCGATATATCATTTAACACTTATTAAACCAATAGATTACTATTGTTTTTAATTTATTTATTAGAAGATATTAGTATCTGTGTATTTTTTCTTTATTGATTTTTACTGAAAAATAACCTTATATCGTCTAGGTTACGCATAAAATAGTCATTGGAACACTTGGAACATTATTCATGGGAATTAAGAGTCCATTTCACTAGTACGAAAAAGTAGCAAAATAAGCTTTCGGCATTTAACATTTTATGTAAAACTAGCTAGGTATTTTTACACAGATGAAGAAGGAAATTAAAGATAAAGGATTATTTTTGTATTTTGTATCTGACTGGAGAGTCAAACGAAGAGTGGGTCCGATTGTGTGGGTCCATTGTTATAATTCCCTTCATACATAAATAACTATTAAACATTTTTTACTTGCCGATCAGTTTAAATAGTGAACAAGCTTTTTACATAGGGCTTTTGTATAGCCCTCTGCGTCTCTACAGGGTTGTTCACCACATACGACACGGAGTATTGTAGCTAAACGATGAGATTTTTACAAATTGTAAGTTTGGGGTTCGATGAAGGACTATTAGAGGTACAATTTAAAAATAATTTTACAAGATACAGAGTGTCCCAAATAAGTAAAAAATATCAAAGTTGTATTTTTTTAAATGGAACACCCTGTATATTATTACATTTTTAGTTTCTACGATTAAAATAAAGGTAAATTTGATTAAGGTTTATTATACTTAGACCTTACCGTTTTTGAAATATTTTCAATTTTGTGAAATTGCAGTAAAAATTTTAAGGCTTCATTTCTCCAAGGGTATCAAAGTTTTTAATACTAAATATTTACTGAAGTTTATTTATTGATCAGTTATTGTGTTGAAATAATAAAAATAATACTACCTTATACAGAGTGTCTAAAAATTTATTTTAAATTATTTCTGGTTTTAAACGGCAATAACTTGTTTAATTTAAATGGAACACCCTGTATATTTAGGAAAATCAGATGCACAATTTAATTGTCCATCAAATTGTATTATACCTATTGTCGTGATCCTGGATTGGACCACCGTCGTCACCAATCTTGTAGTCGCTGCCACCAAATGTTGTAGTTCTCTATTTGACTCGTATCACCACTTGTTGGGAATGTTATTCTTTATTTTTTTATAATTAAATTCTTACTAAGTTGTTATTACTTTTTATTTTTAAACTTTTAATACAAAATATAAATTTAGCAGTATTACGTCTATGAAAAATTTTTATGAATGTCCCCGGTCCCTTCTGTGACCGTGCTTTTATGAGAATGCCCTCTCCGAAAATCCACGGGCGTACCTACTATTTCTTAATAATATTTTCAGGTAGGTTTGCAAAGGGACAAACATGACCATTTCTTAAGTAAATAGAAACCAGACATCGCGTCTGAAAGTAAACGAATTACAAAGGAAAACTAAAAATGATGCAACTATTTATGACTATTTCTTCCAAATTTCATCTTAAGGTAATGGTTCTGTTTATTTGCATCACCCATCTTTCTGAGAAGAATAATAATGTTGATGGTATTTTTCGTACCTTAAATTCTTTAGGCATAGCCGTAGAATAAGGGTAAAAATAATATTTTATACAATTTGTCGAATATACATATACATATAACCATATTAAATGTATGTTCACAACACCTCCCCCCTTAATGAGAGATTTCATGAGGTGAAAGTGATATGAAATCTCAAAACAAATGTTTATATAATTAATTAGTATAACTCAGATGGAAATGAATAAAAGTACATATATAAAAGTATTATACAAGTCTTAACTACTAATTATAACTAACTTACATTCTAACTTAACTAACATTTTTTTTTATAACTATTGCAGATTTAAAAATGTATCAAATGCGGAAATTATTTTTCTTTTAATGGTCGCCTTGATGGTACATACCCAATGGGTCTGCGCGAGGGCGCCTGTAAATTAACATTCTCTTCTTCGGAGTTTTCATAGTTACCTACATTTTCAGAGTTTTGGCTAATATTACGATTATAATGAGCAACATATCTATCACTATTTCTAGAAGATGGTTCCACAGACTGATTAACTCTAATGCATAAGTTTGGAATAATTCCGCAACAGGCTGTCTTGTTAGTACATTTTGTATACAATTTATAAATAATAAAAATAATAGCAAGAAGAGCTAAGATATAGGCAATTACAGATGCTGGAAATGTATAATTGTTTACAAGTTTCCTTTTTAGAATTTCATCACCTAACTTTTCAATATCTTCTAGCTTATGGCTCGCTACATTAAGTTCGGGGATGTGCTTTGTTAATTTCCTATAATGTTCGTTGAGAAATATTTCACTAATGTTTATTTTTTCTTCCTTTATCCTTTCGCAACAATTATCACTAATGTCGAATGGTGGAATAAAATCACTTGAAATATTGGACTGGACTGTATTTCCATGAGGGATTAGCATTGATGATGCGCTATAAGCTTTACATTGTTTACCTATAGTGACACTACCGCAATTTTTTAGTATTACATCTACGTGATTTTTTTTATTATTACATGATATCGTAAGAGTTTCTGGATGAGGAACTGCAAATAACCAAGTGTTACTGGTAATTATTATAAATAAATTAACCCTAAAACAAAATATATATACTAATAATAAGCTAATTAAAATTTATTAATTCTAGTTTTTATAATCTATATATACTGATTATGTTTAGTTTTAATAATAAAAATATTTTAATCTATTTGCATGAATAGTTTGTTTATTTTTTCCTTTTTGAATTGTATAATTTACATCTGATATTTTTTTTATAATGGTATATGGACCAATCCATAAGGCGGAAAGTTTTTTACTTCTGCCACGTCGAACTGATTCGTCGTAAAGTAACACTTTGTCACCAATTTCGAATATTCTGGTATAACTGTTTTTATCGTAATTATTTTTTGATATGTTTTTACATTTTAATAAGTTTTCTTTAGCTAATTGATTAGAATGTTGCATTTTTTGTTTAAGATTGTTTATGAAATCATCATAAGTATAATTGACTTTAGGTGGTTGTTTAACTGATGTTGGTAATGTAGGAATATGTCCGAATAAAAGTTCAAATGGAGAAAATTGTGTAGCAGTGTGAGGTGTAGTATTATATGTAAATGTTGCATAGGGAATCCAATTATCCCAGTCTGTTTGAGATGTCTTAATGAAGTGTCTTAAATATTCTTCTAGAACTTTATGAGAGCGTTCTAGTGCTCCGTTTGACTCTGGGTGATAACTTGTTGTTTGGATCTTTTTTATCTTTAAAAACTTGCAAGTACTTTTAAAAATATCACTTAAAAAATTTGACCCCTGATCTGTGACTAGCATGTCAGGTATTCCGTAAATGCATATAATATTCGTTACAAAATGATGCGCTACAGTTACAGCTTCTTGATTTCTCATAGGTATATTAATTATATATTTTGTTAAATCATCCTGAAAGGTTAATATGTATT